AACTCCCCAGGTATCATAGAAATGATATTTACCCGTTTCCAGCCTCTACCCAAAAAGTTTAGGCTCATCCTTATTTTGGATATCTGCCCCCTGACTAATGTGTCCGAATGACGTGCGCTAGTATTTTAGAACGTCATGCGCGCCATTCTCAGTCGACCCGTTGTGCATGCACTGGCTGGTAATTAATTTAATGCCGGCCGCGTAATTTCATATCGAATCTGTGCACGTCACTTGAGGAACGTATCCACCGCATGAATTCACGATATATGTTATATCTCCCCGATATTACATTCACGACGTATGTTCCTCGCGTCGTTCTTTTTCCCGATATATGTTTTCGTAATCGAATTGCTAACGTAGAGCTGGCCGTGCCTAAGTATTTCCGATGTTGTAAAACTAAAATATAAAAGCTAGCTCTTCGTTTAAAAAAAAAGAAAAAGAAAAATATAGTCAAATACAGCATACATTTTTATTGGATTGCGATGTTTTGAGGTTTCTTCTATGTGATGTGGTAACTTGACAGAGTGTATGTATTACGACATCAGTTGGCTGAAAGTCGGTGGGACAATGCAGGGTGCGCAGCGACATATCGTATAGTACCCCGAGGTACTTTCCGATATATCGAACCGTACACAGGGTACCCTCCGATAGTACCCTGGGGCACATAGACCCTATCAGCATTACTAAGTCATGCACGCTATGCACTGTATACGGCAACGCATCGCTATCCGCAGTACGCTAGCTGCTCTCAGCTACAGTACACAATACTGGCAGCGCGGCAGCGGCGACAGGTGAATGCTTCAGTTTCTTAATATTGGAATCATAAATACCACAAGAATTAACGCGTGTCTCCCATGTACGATGAATAATTTATTATGATACATTGGATTTCGGAATGGGTGATAAACGGTGTCTTTATAATGTTATGTTAAAAGATTAGTAGCGGACATATGTTAGTGCGAATGTCAATTAAGCGGCGCCTTCTTCGAGATCACGGGAAGTGTCTCACCTAGGAAGAACGGGTTGGTACCTTCGTCCTGAAATAAAAATAACAATCTAATATATTTATCTCCATTAGAAGCAAACAGTATTAGTAGCTGTTGTAACTGTTTAAATGAAAGTGGCAAAATTAGTTTCGCAAAGCGATGCGCGTCGCACATATTTTAACATTGCCTTCATTAAAACGACCAGGTAATTGCACGTCTCCTCAAATCACTCATGGTTTATAGTTATGAGGTGAGATCAGGCGAGCATGCTGGTAATGATGCTTCTCCATCTCACTTTTCACGCGCATTGGCTGAATGCGGGTCTCTTACCAGCCGCATATTGTCGTCTATGGCGTCGGATGCATCTTCGTGGCAGTAGAACATGTGTTCTTTGTCACACGGGCACTGTTGAGCCATCTGGTAATCTCTGCTGAACGCATCCGTATTGGGCACGTCTACCAGACAGTTGTCTGCAGCTGAAATTATTTTAGTTATTATTTAATTACATTTAATTATTTTATTTAAATTAGTTTAGTATTTTTAGCTATATACTTAATTTCCGGTTTCTCGTTCGTTAGTTGATTGTCAATAAAGAAAAGCGAGAACCACAGACGAATTATTGATACGCCCTGTGTTACTTTTTTGCAGAATTATGATTATTTCGTCCATCACATTGTAGGTTACGGGTATGAAGGGGGCGATCGATACTTTCACAGCACAACTGTTAAATATGGATTGAGTCCGATGTTCGTGCCAATGGCAGCAGAATAATGCAATCTCTCTCTCTCTCTCTCTCTCTCTCTCTCTCTCTCTCTCTCTCTCTCTCTCTCTCTCTCTCTCTCTCTCTCTCTCTCTTTCTCTCTTTCTCTCTCTCTCTTTCTCTTCTCCTCTCTCCTCTCTCTCTCTCTCGCTCTCTCTCTTGCTCTCTTTTCTCTCTCTCTCTCTTCCTCTTCCTCTCTCTCTCTCTCCTATATATATATATATATATATATATAATAAAAACCTGTAAGTTATTGTCAGAGTATCAAAAAATCATTCAATCTTTGAGATTAATTGCCCCTGCCTTAATACGGCAATGCACGGCGCCACACCGCACAGCACACAAACACACACACACACACACACACGTACATTATAATATATATATATATATATAATATATATATATAACGCTACGGTGACGTATTACTGTGTAGGCGTGCGTGTAACAGATTGTGACGGTCACATTTAGCAGGTGCCATCCTTACCTGGCCTCCGCCAAGTACTCTAGATGATAAGATGCTGCGCATTCCGGATTGTGTCCTCGGAGGTCACGATGTGAATCGAAACAAATTTGAAAAAAGTACGTGGAACGTTTCTTAATTTTACCTGTATAACCGACGGGGCACGGATTCGGTGGGTTGCAGTAGGCTGAGATGTGCCTCACCGGATCTACAAGTGAATAAAGTTCTTCAGGCGTCTGCGATGGAACACCAGGGCCACCTGGCGTGAAATGTATCAGTATCATAATATCAAGAGCGGATAATTACCCTGAATGTATTATTAGCTCTTGATAATATACGTAGGACTGATGTATTATTTCACTCCTGATAATATTCAAGAGCTAATAATAGCTGTATTATGTACTCTTGATAACATATCTATCAGACCCAAACCCACCCATTGCCAGGCAGCAGCAGGTGAGCTTAAAGTTATGAAAAGTGTACGCGATTAGGTTGTGTTGCTGGAATATCAGCACATTACTAAGAGAGACTTCTGTTTTAATTTAGACAAAGATTTTCCGTGTAACTCGACCCCTGCGCATGCATGCGTGCGTACGCCTGACTCATAGAGGTACACATACCCATGCGTAGATATGGAGTTACGTGTGTGTGTGGCTGTGTGTCTCTCTCCCTCTCTCTCTGTGTGTGTGTGTTTGCTAGTCGTGCCGCTGCGCGGCGCGGCGTGTGTGTGTGTGTGTGAGACACCCACTACTGTGTGTGTGTTGTGTGTGTGTGTGGTGTGTGCGTGCGTGCGTGCGTGCTTGTGTGTGCGTGTCTCTTCGTGTGCGTGCATGCGTGCCTACGTGTTTGTATGTTCGTTCGTCCGCGAATTCGTAATGTAGCAATGAACGTCTTCCTATCGTGCTTTCTGTTCACCCCTCCTGACAACGGCCACGCAGACCGCTGAAAATCATGTCCACCAAGATTACATTGCCAAAGGACGAGAAACAATTCACGGAATGCATTGTTGCAAAGTCAATCGTAGCTGTCACCAAATTCAAAAGCAGACCGGACGGGACCGGACTGAATACAGAGCTACGCCTCGCTTGCGCCAGTCGTCTAGGCCAGTGATCGATGAAGCGAAATAGACCGTTCACGTTATTCCGGCCCTAAGAACATTTCGTGCTTGAGTGCTGGGTAATAAATTGCGCTTATATTAGGTCGACTTCATGCGCGCTTTCATAGGAATATCGGCTCACGTGCTAAATCCGTTTCGCCTGCCGAAGAAGTGTTTTAACAACGCGTTTTCAACCCAATCCCTCGACAGTTTACAAAGAGAGAGTATTCGCTAACATGATTCGGCGAGAGAAATCGGTTGCATGTTGTCCGCACGAGAGAGGCCCTAAATGTATGCTACCGCGAAGAGAACATATAAGCACAATGCACTGCATACGATAGAGAATAGCGACATGCGTAAAGCGGGAGAGAAAGTGTGGCCGAAAACGGAAACGGTGATGAGCCTCAAAGGAGAGAGCAGAGAAGCGACGCGAGGGAGACAAGGGAAGGGGAGAGAAACGAGCCTAGAGAGAATGAAGAAGATGAAAGAAAAGGCAGACGGAGAGGAAAAACAATGCACACAGACAGAAAAAAGTAGAAGGAGGAGAGCCACACGACACACACCACGGATACTCACACACGAGACTGCATGGCGACGAGCCTATGCGACGACCACACACGACAGACGAACGCCACGCAACGCACACAGCGCACGCACCCGCACACGAGAACAGACAAACGAGCGAACACACAGCGAACAGCAAGCAACACAGAGACGAAGAATCGACACACAACACAACACCACCATGAACAGAACAAACATGCACAACAAGAGACAGAAGCAAGCGACAGACAAACAGACAGATGACGGAAGAGAGCGAGACGACGGAGGACTCGGAGACAGACGAAGCAGCGGCTACCACCCACACATACACAAACACAGGCCAGAAAAACAGGCAAGAAAGGGAGGCGCAGAGGACGCAGGAGGTAGAGACCAAAGCAGAGAGGAGAGACAGAGAGCAGAAGACAGCGAGACAGGACAAGAGAGAAGAGAGACAGAACGAGAGCAGACAGAGACAGAGACAGA